GAGTAACAATAGTAAAGTGCGTTACCTTGCTTGACCGTCGGAATGAGAAGCTCCAGGCTGAACTTTTTTCAGCGCGCAATAATTGGCTCTGACCAATACCCTCGAATCCGCATCCTCGACCAACGTCACCTCATCCTCGAATTCACGTCAACCTCGTCCATGAATTCACGTCAACCTTGTCAAAAATCCACGTCGACAGGCCAAGGAAACATCGTCACCTTTGAATGATGCGCTAACTAGTCAGATTGCCTAATGCGAAACAAGGGGGAAAGTTGGCGGAAAAAGTACACGAAACCCAGGTGGAAAAAGTCAACAAACAGCTTCTAATTTATCGATTACAACTCGTACTCCTATCACTACCTCAATCAAGTCTCTACTGTCATGGTCTCCTTAGACGCGGGTTGTCCTCATTTCCTCGAAAATTTTGGTTGGATGCAGGAAAATGGTGAGAATGTGCCTATGATTCATGCTTTGGACGACATGGGATTCCGAGTAAAGTCGAGACCAGCATGGTTCACTGTCACAGGGATCGTAGAAAGCAACGGGCTTTTTGTGTCCATGTCTGGTAAGAATGCCCAGTCTCTTCCGCCACAATCTGAGAGCGTTTCAGGAGATGCCAAGAGACCTGTGGATCTGCCGGAAGCTAGATTTCGTTTTCGTCTTCGGGACCCAGGAGACGATTGCAGTCTCTATAGTTTCCATCGTGCGTATAGCAACCTTTTAGCATTTCAGAAGATGGCGACAATCGACATTTGTGGTGGTCATATGTTGAGAAATGGAAGAGTTCACTTTGAACAAAGGGTCCTCCTGTCTCCGATGGCTCAAGCTCGACTATGTCCAGCGGAAATGGTACATCAATTGGTCGAGCCGGTTTCTTTCTGATAGTTGATTTTCATCCAGATGTTGGACCTGGCCAAGAGAAAACCGGTGTCGATGCTGAAGAGGGTGCCGAGAACGTGGAAGAGGAACATGGTATGTGACCTTGGACTTCAGCTCCCGGTTCTCACATTTGCTGTCACAGAGCCTGGTGCTTCGAACGCGCCTGGAAAGCGTAAGGGTATCCCCGCAGAGAGGAACGACAAGCCGGCCAAGAGGACTAGAGATAGTAAATAGAGCACATTCTTATTCTTTTCGTCACTTTAATCATTGTTCGGTGGTTCATATCTATCATTATTTCATTGGTTGAATTTTACTTTGTTCAAGATTGGGTTTTTGAAGATGTGACGCTGACCTCGACTGTGGGTTAAGCAAGGTCCGAAACGCCGAAGGCGGTACTTTCATAATATAAACAATTGAACAGACACAACACGTACGAGTCCTAGACGAAAGGTTTGCGGAAGGGTAAAATCTTGTGCTGCTCGAAGTTTGGTGGGCGTGAAACCTGTCAAAGGTTTACATATGAGTTGCTCGAATGTTTGCACACTCACCAGACCTATGCAAGCATGTCCAGAAATGATTCGTAGGATGGGCATAGTGGTGACCTTCTTGTGCCGATTTCTGACCCGGGCTGCGATGAACTGGGGTCAAATTACACTCTCAGGCAATCAACAAAGCACAGACTTAATACCACAAAACACGACTGGAAATGATATTAGTAGTGCATGGCTTGGAAAGAATAAAATCACCGTCGAGGTTTGGTTCCAGATAATCCGGTATCATGCTCAAATGAGCATAAACCTCTGGTGCAGCAAATTCGCGCTTTCTCTTCTTGGATGGCGAAGAGCAGATGTCCATGTCCCCGTCACCATCGAATGACAGTTTTGCAGAAGATCGAGAGCTCGAAGCTCTCTTTTTGAAGGTGAAAACTGCATAAAATCGTCGTCCTCAAATTTGAGCAAAGACCGTCTCTTGGCTGGAGAGTCCATTGTCACGTCCTCTTCTTTCTTGGCCGACTTACGCGGTGAAAGAGATCTCTCGCGCTCTTTGATGTCTTCATCCAGAGCGGCTAAGCTATCAATTAGACGAACTGGTCGAGTTGTTTTCCGAGGGGATCGACGTGGCCTAGGCTAGATTAATACGCGCCTTTTGAAGAGAAAAATATACCTGCAGGTCGAAAAATGGACTGACTGCCAGAAGAGCGTCTGTAAACTCGGACTTTATTATTGGGTCCATGGCGAAGGAAGCTGAAGGAAGCAAAGTGCAAAATGCTTACGCAATGATCACATGCGACTGTGACCCTGCGACGCCACAAATACGATATTTTAAATATTAAAACGGGAGCGTATCCGATATCGATATACAAATTCTTCAGCTAGTTAATTATACTAAACTGGTACTTGTGCAACCTCGGTGTCTCCTGTTTCCTCTGGAGGATCGGCAACTTCTAAAACCGGCTCCCTCTTCCGACTAATTCGGTTCAATATCAATCCAACCCCAACTGCTCCACCTATGGTGTTGAGAAGGATGGCCCAGAATACGACAGAAAACTGCTCGCTCTCTGAGCTATCACCCAAAATGAGTAATGGTCTTGCCAATTGCGCAACTATGATGGCTATCTCGCCTCTTGGGACTAGCGACAGTCCAAGGATGAGAGACGATTGACTTCTTGTCAAGATTTCCGTTTCCTGATTCCAAACCAGAGCCCATAGGCCAACGGCCATTTTTCCCAGCATCATTAACAGTGAATATACTATGCCTCGCCAAACGACTCGGCTTGAACCGTCGACAGAGCCAAGTGCTCTAATCGGAAGGGCGAAACCGATGGAAGCGAAGAAAAGTGGCGAGAGAAAGGCGTTCTGGACTGGTTGGAGATATATCTCAAAGGCGGTTTTGTGAGGGTCTTGTTTTGGAAAGACATATGTTATCGATAGACCTGCTAAGTATGCTCCAAAGAGCTCGCTACCGCCGGCATACTTGCTTCCAGCGACAAAGCCGCATATCAAGGGAGGCATGACAAAGAAATGCAGACGAGTCGCAGTGAACTTTGATAGGAAAGGGCGAAGAAGACGAGCTCCAACGGTGGTGACAAGGATGAAAGCGAAAGAGACGAGAATAGGTCTGACTATTGTTTGCCACTGAATCGCGGACGATGCTGTGATTTGTTCGATGATTGAAGCAATGATAAGGGCGACCACATCATCAAAGATCGCAGCACTAATCAGCACCACACCGACTTTGGTTTGCCTGAATTCCGGTTTGAGCAATGACATCGTCGTCCCCAACGAGGTGGAACATAATGCTGCTCCAGCGGCGAAACCTTGGAGAGCAGAATAACCATATCCGAAATGCAGTAGCAAAATAGATATCGTGATGGGTAAAACGATGCCAGTCGTTCCTGCTAGCATGGAAATGCCGATGTTCTGTGTTAACAAGTCTATGTTTGTTATAAGCCCGCCTTCAAATACGAGCAGGATTAACCCAATGTATCCCAATACGATAAAGGTCTCCGCGAGGTATTCTGGAAGGATATTGGCCACTTGAGGGCCGTAGATGATACCGACGACCAGTGGTCCAATGAGACCAGCGTTGAGAGCCAGCTGAAATAGATTTTCGGAGAGAGAATTAAAGAAGAGGAAGGAAGCAATGGTCAATAATGTAGGTTGGTCGGGCGGCTGGTATTGGATTGTGGTCATTGGTTAGCTTCGTGAACTGCTGAGATCAGAGAGTGGCTCCGGGAACCGCTGGAACCCCGGGCGCGTCGCGGCGGCCTAGTTTGGGCCTGGTATGAAATTTGAGGGAAACTTGGTGGCCAGACAAGTTCATGAGACTTGGCAAAGACTTGAGCAGTTTCCGACGAGGAATTTCTCCGATATTTCAGAGGGACGGGAAGGTCCAAGTTCGGTCAGAGAGTTCACCGCACTGGGCGTAACTTTAGCGCCGAGCAAAAAGTTGGTGTCACACGTCACATGTTGCCGTGTAAAGCTGACGCTCGTGATTCATTGCACTTTGTTCCTTGTCGTCAATATGAAAAGGAGCCTAGACTCGGACACTGCAGGATCATCCTCGAAACCAACCAAGTCAGCTAAAATCTTGGAATCCGACGCTCCAGAATCATTTTCGAAACCAACCAAGCCGACGAAAAGTGAGTCATGGTTGCGCTGGCCGCTCACAAAGTACTGTAACTTTGTCAGTGCACCCATTTTTCAAGAAAGAGCCTTCGACCCTCAAATGGCATAAACCATTCGGCGGAACTTGCCTTTACGCTGTTAACCTATCTCCTCAATCACGCGTCAAGGTCGCGGCATTTGACTTGGATGGCACTTTGATTGAAGGCGGTTTTCGGCCCAAGGGCAAGGAGCGCGAGTGGAAATGGCTTTTACCTTGTGTCAAAAGTAGGCTCGAAAAACTTCATAACGAAGGGTCAGCCTGTCTGTCAATCATCTAGTTCGACGCGCTGACTTGAATCTACTAGGTTCTCGATAGTTATTGTCTCGAATCAAGCGGGCCTCAAAAGTGACTCTCGATTGACTGATTGGAAAGAAGGCAAGATGACTTCGATTGCTAAAGATGTCCGTGGACCAGGAATCTATTCTGATTTCGCCTACTGACGCGTTTTGTGTAGCTCCCCTTGCCATTTCACCTCTTTGCTTCTCGATCCAAGGATAAATATCGCAAGCCTGACACTGGAATCTGGGATGAACTGGTACGGATATTTGACAAAGATGGTGTTGCAATCGACAGAGAAGCCTCTTTTTTCGTCGGCGACGCTGCAGGCCGCAAGGTGAGTGTCTTCATTTCTGGTCAGGACTAGTTTACAAGACTACCTGCAGGGCGATCATGCTGACTCGGACCTCGGATGGGCAGAGAAGGTCGGGCTTCGTTTCTTTACACCAGAGGTTTGTTCCTTTACTCCTTGCTTTTTGTGTTAATAATACGTTTTGCAGCAATTTTTCAAAGAGAAGGATTGAATGCTGGACTACACAAGTTACTCTGTATTTGTATTCTGAATCTTTTTACTGTGCAACGATCATAAAGTTTTAAACTTTCGAGACGTGCGCTCAGTTTATCTACCATGTCCCTTTACAGGGGCGTCTTCAGCTCGAAAAGACCACCATCTCTGAGCATTAATGGGGTAGTGGTAACCTGGGTCGTTGCCATTCGAGTTGATTCTCGACCCGCCGGGGGTTCGATTCCCTCTTAATGCATCCTTTTCTCGTGGAGGGGTTATCCATTTTTGCCAAAGAAACGGCTGCTGCACAGCAGGCCGTGTTCGCTTTCTTGCACTGCGGGTTGCATGTTGTACAATGATATTGACGACTTCAGTCCCGCTCTTCAAAGCTTCAGGCCAACTACACCTTCAGGTAACTGTAAGCAACAAGATTTTTGAGTTCTCCCCCTTAGCCACAGCGGCCCGTCTTTTATCTTTATCTCATCACTGCACCATATGGTAGCATATGGTCCTTGTTAACCAGCGAAACGTCGCAATCTCCGCCTTTCTCTCTCTTTCGGCCCACGATGTCTGTCAATTCTAACGAGCCTGAATTTTCGCGACCCGCGCCTCAAATTCGGACTCTCGACATTGAATCAGTTCCCGACGAGATATTTGAGGAAATGAAGGTCTATGAAGATGCTGCCAGGTTCATTTCCGTCTACCTGCGTCCAAGTAATGTCGAATACTGCTCAATTTTCCCAGAGACTTTATCCTGGCTGGCTTTGAGCAAACGACCGAAGGTTCCACTGGCGACCATGTCTTCATCAAGCATCGTCCTATCGATGAGCAAGTTGCCCAGATATACCGGATGCCTGTGGACCCCAGCAAACCGGAACTGGAACGTCTGACCTATTTCAATGTCGGTTCAGGCAGAACCATTGTCGACTTTCTCTCAATCAAAGGAGATGACTGGAGAGGATCTACGCGACATGGCGGCACGATAATGGTTATGGATCTTGATGGGAATGAATTCTTCCAGCTATGGTGGGCCGTCTCGTGTTCGCGAGCTACCTCTGATATATAGTTTCGTAACAGGCGCTACTGGGAAGACTCTCAGTCAGAGGTTGTGTTCCCAAATATCGAGGGAGAGCTCGACAATAAGCCTGGCAAAGGCCGAATTGAACGAATCACCCATGATAACTTTAAATATTCGAATCCTGTGGTTTCTCCAACTAACAAGTAGGTGCAAGTTCTCCGGAGGAAATCCTTTTTTAACCAGACTCTTCAGAGTGCTGGCATTCACGTCCAATAAGGAAAACGGGTCAGATACCCTGGTTTATATCTCGAAGTTATCAGCCTCAAACACTGGTGCTGCCCCAGATTCCAAGCCATTCACTCTTCCTGTAACTCTGGTGGCGCCGAGTTCTGGTGAAGGCACCACCCGTTGGGTCATTACCTCGATGTCCTCCGATGACAAACGTTTGCTCCTGTCGAAGACCCTCAGCAATGCACATGCGATGATGTATCTTCTCGACATTTCAAGCGATACATTTTCCCCGCCGATTCTCATAACCTTGCGTGGTGCGACAGAAAGGCTAGTAGAGGAAACAACTTATGAGGGTTACTTCTCCAAGGATCTCAACACTCCAAATCTATTATACATCCTGAACAATGCTTTTGGAGACTTTGTTTCCCTTGTGGTTTACGACACAGAAAGCTAGCCTCGATACCAGGCCCTCTTCCTCGATTCCTCGTCGAGGGCCTGGTAAATTTCATTTATATCCGGGTGGTGATAATTTTGACGGATGTTCGTAATAAAGAATTTCCTTATATAACCAGAATCCATTTGGGGAAATCTGCTTTTGGAATCATAACCGAGCGCGTGTCATTTCTTCTTGCCTTCATATGCCTTTGTCTGTCTGATTATCTCTCTTGTCCTGCTTGTCTTGAACATGTCAAATCCACTAAAAAATCTGCACAAACTAGCGGTGGTGGTCGAGTGCAACCCGGATATAATTCCTAATGTGGTTTCCGCATATGGATTCTGGTCATATAAGGTAGTTTTTATTTAACCCGGTCCCATCAAAATTATCACCCGCCAACAAATTATGGCCATTATGGGCTGACTGGTCATGCCTGTGTATGGTTAACCCAGTTACCGGTCATGTGCACCTTCCTGTTTTGGAAGATATTTCCACGGGTCCCTTTTCTGGATATGCTCGCCGTTGACACATCAGCTGCACCTTGAACCTCAAGGGTGAGACTCAGAGACCTGTTCCAGCAACTAAATAGAGCACCAATATATGTTCCATGACATTTTCAGCTGTTGCCTGCTGCATGGTCTCCTCTCGCATTTTGAAAGGGAAGTTTGGCTTCTGGGCAAAGTTTTGAGCAGAGGGAACATTAAGCAGAGCAAATGTCATTGATACGAGTTCCAATGAGCAATGAAACTGGTCTACTGAGAGATTGATGCAAGTGTGGCGCAAACTCGGCGCCGCGGTCCCGGAAAATGCAGATTTTATGAGATCAAGCCATCCCAAACTCACAGTTCTGGCTGGGAAAAATGTTCAGTCTTGGAACCTACCACAAAATTGAGATTGACCTTACTGACCATGCCGGACAGAGCCGCAGGCTTGAGAAATACTGTAACAGCAAAACTGGATGGGAACAGTGAGAATGGGCCCACTGTGGTCTTTTGAATACTCATAGGGACAAGGAGAATATTCCCAACAGATACCCAATCATTTGGAAGACATGCCACTGCCAAAAGCACCAAATTTACTGTGATTGTGAAGTCTTGCATATGTGGCGCATAACCAGGCGCCGCAGGCGCGGAAATTTTATATTTACCATATTCAGTAGCTTCAAGCTAAGTGTTTCATTTTCTATCATTGTTGGCTTTGCCTTCAATGAGTTGGGGGTGATAAAGCATGCACTCTGCCGCAGCTGATGAAGAAAATTCAATAAATGAGGGGCCAGAAGAGCTAAAATACCACAATTCACATTGGTGTCCCTTCAGACAACTGAATTGAAGTTATGCTGACCATTATATGACTGTAGTTCTTCACTGGTAGCGCAAAGGAAGCAATATTGTATCATGTAATCAGTCCCACGTACGCTGCTGAACTTACTGTCAAAATTCACCAATTTATTACTTATCCCTTCTGGTAAGTCCTAAAAGTCTCTGCTTAACCACATCTTGATTATCTTGATTATACACACATATAAGTGGTAAGCCATTATGGGCTGACTGGTCATGCCTGTGTATGGTTAACCCAGTTACCGGTCATGTGCACCTTCCTGTTTTGGAAGATATTTCCACGGGTCCCTTTTCTGGATATGCTCGCCGTTGACACATCAGCTGCACCTTGAACCTCAAGGGTGAGACTCAGAGACCTGTTCCAGCAACTAAATAGAGCACCAATATATGTTCCATGACATTTTCAGCTGTTGCCTGCTGCATGGTCTCCTCTCGCATTTTGAAAGGGAAGTTTGGCTTCTGGGCAAAGTTTTGAGCAGAGGGAACATTAAGCAGAGCAAATGTCATTGATACGAGTTCCAATGAGCAATGAAACTGGTCTACTGAGAGATTGATGCAAGTGTGGCGCAAACTCGGCGCCGCGGTCCCGGAAAATGCAGATTTTATGAGATCAAGCCATCCCAAACTCACAGTTCTGGCTGGGAAAAATGTTCAGTCTTGGAACCTACCACAAAATTGAGATTGACCTTACTGACCATGCCGGACAGAGCCGCAGGCTTGAGAAATACTGTAACAGCAAAACTGGATGGGAACAGTGAGAATGGGCCCACTGTGGTCTTTTGAATACTCATAGGGACAAGGAGAATATTCCCAACAGATACCCAATCATTTGGAAGACATGCCACTGCCAAAAGCACCAAATTTACTGTGATTGTGAAGTCTTGCATATGTGGCGCATAACCAGGCGCCGCAGGCGCGGAAATTTTATATTTACCATATTCAGTAGCTTCAAGCTAAGTGTTTCATTTTCTATCATTGTTGGCTTTGCCTTCAATGAGTTGGGGGTGATAAAGCATGCACTCTGCCGCAGCTGATGAAGAAAATTCAATAAATGAGGGGCCAGAAGAGCTAAAATACCACAATTCACATTGGTGTCCCTTCAGACAACTGAATTGAAGTTATGCTGACCATTATATGACTGTAGTTCTTCACTGGTAGCGCAAAGGAAGCAATATTGTATCATGTAATCAGTCCCACGTACGCTGCTGAACTTACTGTCAAAATTCACCAATTTATTACTTATCCCTTCTGGTAAGTCCTAAAAGTCTCTGCTTAACCACATCTTGATTATCTTGATTATACACACATATAAGTGGTAAGCCAAATTATGATATTTACTGGTCCCTCTACGAGGATTCGAGTAGAGGGACCAGTTTTCAGGTCTAACAGAAAGCCTTTCGGTGCTGCATATTACCACTCCAGAACCACTGTCTCTCAAAGCGCTCCGCCCGACTCCATGGGGTGTTGTAACTCTCATTGTCACCCAAGATTTCATCTACTGGAAGGCCAATATCGAGGGCTGGTCGAATCTCTTCGTGATGCCCTTGTCCGGTGAACACAAAGACAAGGTTATCGAGATTCGCCCAGCATGGGAGGGAGGAGGTATATACTTTAAGACCAACCAGGAAAATGGAAAACCCCATGAACTGATCATCAAGCTCAAAAATTATTGCACTCCGGGAACCATCGCTCACCTGGATATCTCGGTCGCCCTGCAGAAGGTCCAGACGGACGCGTCTGGAAATGCTTTTATCTCTGTCCCATTGAAAAGGTATTCGCAAGCTTCATTGCCCGACCCAGCTTTCCCCACTGTTGCACCAAAGCTCATCCGGTTCAAGAGCTTCGACGGTCTGGAAATTTCCGGGATTTATTATCATCCCAATGAAGGTCACGCGGCAGTCCCCGTCGTACTCTCGATTCACGGGGGGCCGGAGAGCCAGTCTTCAGCAATCACCAAAGTGTATGAAACTTTGATTTTCTTCATATCCTGTTAACAAATCTCTATTTACTAGCCCGATCCATGGCTACCTGATGAACCAGCTGGGCATTGCTGTGATTTATCCCAATGTGCGCGGAAGTGCCGGATATGGCAAGAAGTTTATGGACCTAGATTCTGTCGAGAAACGAGAAGATTCGGTCAAGTAGGCTGCTTCAGTCTTTCTTGCATCTCGTTGATCCATCTCTCCAGGGATATCGGTGCTTTGATTGATTACATCGAGAAGAACATGCCGAAT